TCAGCAGAAACGGCAAACCAAGCGGGTCCTTGAACCTAATCGTCATCTCTCCACCTTGCTCATATGTCAGGCGACATACGGGCGGGACCCAACCAACATGGGCGGAGCATCCATGCCTGCGGCGGATGTGAGCCATGTACATGTTCTCCCCATCGCCCTGCCCTTGCCCACCAGGACTCCCCTCAACCATGGAACACATCCCCTGCTCTGGCATGGAGTCGTAACCCATGCACAACATCTGACGGTCCTCCTCCCTTATCTTCTCCCAGCACCGCTTTGCATGCTCCACAACCAGAACGTGCTCCTTCACATCTGCATTGAAAATGGACACACGTGCCAATACAACCAAGAACTGCCACTGCTCCACCATGCTTGCATGCATCCACCCCAAGGGCAGCCAATGGCCTGTCTGCAGTTTGGCCGCCATGGTCACCTTGCCATCAACTGTTGCAGGATGCAGACATCCTGGCAGCCAATTCACACGATATCCATACTTCTGAGGAGCCACATGGTGCTGCAACTGCCCCTCAGGGATGACATGGGCCGTAATGTCTATGGCAGCCAGAACGTCAGGCTTCAGGTTGGACAGGTTCCATACCAGCGGGGACAATCCATCAGCAGTAGCTTCCTCCCCTCTGGCATGCGTGTATGAGTACCCCTGCTCACCCGCGAACACTTTCCCCTCTGCCACCTCGAGCTCCACAGGGTTTCGAAGAGGTGGCGAAAAACAATGAGCAACAGCGGTGGGACAAGCCATCGTCATCTTCTCCTCTTCAGTCACCTCCCTGTTCAGGTGCCTGGACACGAAGCTGCCGTTTATGTAACACACGGTCCATACATTGCCCATGGCGTCACGCATGGGCATCCTCACACGGCCACAAAGAAGGGGGGCGTCATGTGGCACCCAACCCCACCGTGGATCCCTCCTGGCATCAGTCTCTGCACAAACCGAGCCCACTGCAGTGTCCAACCCGCCAATCACCCATGACTCTCCGCAGTCGACACTGTCGTACTCAAAATCATTCAGCCTCAAATCGCCCTTCGCGTCCAGAACACGCTATAGTTTCAACACATGCCGTGATTTCTCATCAGGGGTCGCCGCATCGTTCAACCTCAGCACTTTGTCGAAGATGATTGACAGAGTCACGCACCTCCACGACGCCTCTGTGGGGGCGGGATATGAAACCCATTCCCCATTCACTTTGAACGCAAAGCACGGCGTTCCTCCAACGGTACCCGGTTGAAGACGGCCAGACACCCAATTGACGTCATACGGGAAGTGTCCTCCTGCTCTCGTCCTCTCAACATTCTCGTATGGAACAAGACACTCTGCACCATCATCGCTCGTGTCGCCATCCGTGCTCAAGTCTGCAGCCTGCGCACAAATTCCCGCAAGGGCCACTCCACAGTCCGTGGTGTTGCTCCGGCCGATATCCCTTCGTTGCTGACACCTGCAATACCCTTCACCATGTCCTGAGTCTCCATCGCGCATGTCTCCACGCCGTTGACATTCGATTGAATGGCAAGCCCCATCTATTGCATGACACATCACAAACATTTATGAGAATCCTTGGCAGCGACGTGACCCCCTCACCAGAGAGAGAGAGAGAGAGAGAGAGAGAGAGAGAGAGAGAGGTTGACTACTGCGGGCCAGAACGAGAACAACCAGCGGCGGTGTGCACTTACATGGCACGCAATAGTCAACCTCTCTCTCTCTCAGGCAGACATACACAGCGTAAAAGGGCGGTTGGCTACTGCGGGCCGTTGGGACAACAAGCACCATCGGTACACATTGACATGGCACGCAGCAGTCAACCTCACCCAGCTGGAAAAAAAAAATAAAAAATTGTGGCACCAGCGCGAGGTTGGCTACTGCGGGCCAGAACGAGTACAACCAGCAGCGGTGTACACGTACATRGYCCGCAGTAGTCAACCTCGCCAATACTGCCTAACATACACTGCGTAAAATGGCGGTTGGCTACTGCGGGCCGTTGGGACAACAAGCAGCATCGGTACACACTGACATGGCACGCAGCAGTCAACCTCACCCAGCTGGGAATAAAAAAAAAAAAATTGTGGCACCAGCGCGAGGTTGGCTATTGCGGGCCAGAACAAGTACAACCAGCAGCGGTGTACACGTACATGGCCCGCAGTAGTCAACCTCGCCCATACAGGCTAACATACACTGCGTAAAAGGGCGGTTGGCTACTGCGGGCCGTTTGGACAACAAGCAGCATCGGTACACACTGACATGGCACGCAGCAGTCAACCTCACCCAGCTGGAAAAAAAAATAAAAAATTGTGGCACCAGCGCGAGGTTGGCTACTGCGGGCCAGAACAAGTACAACCAGCAGCGGTGTACACGTACATGGCCCGCAGTAGTCAACCTTGCCCATACAGGCAAACATACACTGCGTTAGAGGGCTAACATCAACTGCGGGTCATTGAGACAACAAGCAGCTTCGGTACACATTGACATGGCATGCAGTAGCCAACCTCACCCACCTGGGAAATCAGAAAACAATGTGGCACCAGCGCGAGGTTGGCTACTGCGAGCCAGATCGACAACAACCAGCAGCGGTGTACACTTACATAGCCCGCAGTAGTCAACCTCGCCCATACAGGCAGACATACACTGCGTTAGAGGGCGGTTGGCTACTGCGGGCCATTGACACAACAAGCAGCTTCGCTACACACTGACATGGAAGGCAGTAGCCAACCTCACCCACCTGGGAAATCAAAAAAAAATGTGGCACCAGCGCAAGGTTGGCTACTGCGGGCCAGATCGACAACAACCAGCAGCGGTGTACACTTACATGGCCCACAGTAGACAACCTCACCCGTACAGGCAGACATACACTGCGTTAGAGGGCGGTTGGCTACTGCGGGCCATTGACACAACAACCAGCTTCGGTATAGACTGACATGGCACCCAGTACCCAACCTCACCCACCTGGCCACTCATAAAAAAATGTGGCACCAGTGCGAGGTTGGCTACTGCGGGCCAGATCGACAACAACCAGCAGCGGTGTACACTTACATGGCCCGCAGTAGTCAACCTCGCCCATACAGGCAGACATACGGGGCCTTAGAAGGCGGTTGGCTACTGCAGGCCATTAACACAACAAGCACCTTCGGTACACACTGATATGGCACGCAGTAGTCAACCTCACCCACCTGAGAAATCATGAAAAAATGTGGCACCAGCGCGAGGTTGGCTACTGCGGGCCAGATCGACAACAACCAGCAGCGGTGTACACTTACATGGCCCGGCGTAGTCAACCTCGCCCATACAGGCTAAACTACAGTGCGTTAGAGGGCCGTTGGCTACTGCGGGCCATCAGGACAACAACCAGCATCGACAAACATTGACATCGCACGAAATAGTCAACCTCACCCAGCTGGAAAAAAAAAAAAGAATGTTGATTGCGAGAGGTTGACTACTAAGGGCCAAAACGAGTACAACCACCAGCGGTGTACACTTACATGACCCGCAGTAGTCAACCTGTCGCAGAGATGCATACATACACTGGACAGACAGAGAGGTTGGCTACCGCGGGGCGATGGGACAACAACCACCAATGGTACACACAGTCATGGCATGCAGTAGTATACCTATTGCAACGTGGAAAACAACACTCTGCTTTATCGACACGTTCACCAGTCATCGATGCAACACGACGCCAAACGTGACATGCGAGACCAGAATTGGCCTGCAAGGAGGACAACTTCGTGCTGTCGGACAGGTAGACATGCGTACACACAGATAGAAAAAGAGAGGGGGAGAGAGAGAGATAGAGAGAGATCACGCTTCCCTGACGACCCGCGCTGCCACAATTTGACATCTTCTGTACAGAGTTTCCAAGCGCTCATGGATGTCAAGTCCTTTCCTGCAATATTCACAGTTTATTTCCGCTCCATGACGGGCCGCGTTCAGTAATACCGGTCCCATTATAGCTTTGATATATGAAATTATATGCGAAAAACAGTCCACCACCAGCCTCGCCATTTGTCGAGAGTTTGCGTCAGCAACAAAATTTTTAAAAATTTCCATCATCATAGGCATAACAGAAGATTCTGGTACAGCCGAAGGTGCTTTGCTGGCAAGCATGTAGGCGAAGTTGTGACACACGTGGTGAGATTTCAGTGYGGCAACATCACTGCACGCAAACAGGACATGTGGCGCAGGCGCATCCTTCCCAAGAGTGGCCCCATTCCCCGAACACACTCCGATTGGTCTGTCAGGTTCCTCTCTTCCCTTCTTCGTTTCACCTTCTCCACATCCCATAACATCTCCTTCCGTACATGTCACCGTCAGTTCCCCAGCCAACATCCTGCCTCGAGTGTGTTGCAGGGCATCCATTACGTCGGAGCAACTGCTCAGCAGAGTCGCGATTTTTGCAGGAAGCTCGTCATTAAAAAAAAGACCCGACACGCACTTAACTCAGACCGTACTCGTCAACAGTTTCCGTACAGTGGCGAATGCAGTCCTCGGCGAAGGCTAAGAGGTCAACGACGCTGCGTGCCGTCGTAGGTAGCGAACCTGTGTTGTAATCTTGGGAATTGTACGATGCCCACCCCTCCTTGAGCACACACTTTCCGCAGCTGGCAAGACACATGACATCCCCTCCGTCTGATTCCCTGTTTGTTGTCTTCGTGACATGGGCGGAGAACCGCTTCA